AACCCAAGAAATATATCTATTTTGCTGCTCCCAAAATTAACGACCACAATGTCTAATTAATAACTGTTGTTGAAATCATCAACAATGACCATATACGTAGAAGACCTATCACAGGCGAAATACATGATTTGACTTTCCAAATTATCACTGTCCTATTCAAGAAATATAACGATGAGAGTAATGACATGATTAGGAACAACCATATCTAAGTATTATGATTGAAATACTCGACCGTGACAAATTTCTGACCATAATTAAATTCCATTCGATTTTGAGTCATGCTGCTCTGTAATCATGCCTAGTCTTTGGATTGTACCAAATAATTGAATTTCGAAAATATGTTAGAAGAAAATTCTTAGATTACTGCACTCGGATCTGACTCAATATTATCAGTGTTGAATTGAATCCCATTATATTTCAGATTAGTCAGTTAGAGTTAGTTCGGTATGAATTCATTAGCTAACTTAGTATTTTCATTCATTGTATCTCAGCTACTGTCGAATTTCCTGAGAAAATGACAATATCAATGAGAAACTATAAGCATGAATGAAAAGTCATCAAATACAAGAAAATAATATTCAAATCCAAATTGCTTCAGAATCAAGCAGATGCCCGATAATTTTGTTTTTTTTATAATAATATTCTTCATGTATCAGATGATCTTCGATATTGATGATCAACCACTATAAACAGAATACGACAGCTGGCATTGGCGATAATTCAAAATAAAAATAATCAGATGAATAATTCTTTCATTCTCATTTTGCTTCATGTATTTATTCATTACTAGACAAAGTTATAATTGAAAGAAATAGAATTGTTTCATGGCTTGTTTGAATTCATTCCAGAAGAATAAGCGAAAAACATTTTCAAATATAAAGAAATTGAATCATGGGATCCTATAGTTCTATAATAAACGATATTGCAGTCAAAAACACTTTCGAATGGACCATTCTAGATTCGATAAGAACTGAAAATGTTGTTTTTTGAATAGACCAAAAGATATGACATATATGATGTGTCTATATGGTGTGAATGTTGACTTTCATTGCATCTACATGTTTTTATATTTGATCCTTCACATTTAAAAAATGGTGCTATCATAAAACAATTAACACATAATCGAAGTTTGTTTTCCAATAGGATATTATGCATCACGAGCTAATATTGGTCCTATTCTTTCTAAACATATTTCTGTATAGCTAGTTTTGTCCACAAACGAATTCAGAGACGATTAATTTTATAAACTAATGTCCACATCTGAATTAAAGACGTATGAGTGTAGGTTCAAGAACTCGACAGCAGCAACAATTAACGACCTGCAGTATTTGGTAATCCAAAGACGAGAATATGTCGAACACCTTTTTATTTGATATTATATTAAATAAATTACTTTAAAATCCATCATCTCCACAAAACATGTAACAAAATGCATGAAAACGATGCTCTGTTCCATATTCGCATATCTTAATGTTGAGCAAACAAAAGGACGTATCTATTTGGTCAAACTATACAAAATTCTATTGATTTCGAGGATGATGGATTTAGAAGTAAAGTACGATGCAAAAGTAATGGCACAAAATGTTGATTCGTATTTTTCTTCGATAGAAGAGTGATGAAAGAAATTTTTTTTTATCAAAAGATAGAGCTTTTTCTCCTCTTTCGAACTGTATGTAGTTTATTTTTAATACATATTCGTAAATGAAATGAGATAAGAAAGAAAGAAAAATACTGGTGCAACAAATTTGCAATTTTTTGTATAAACTTGTCAAAAATATCTTGGCAGACAACGATAATTTGATTTTTTTGATACTCATTAAAAAGCTCTTGTAAGACAGCAGTTACTTAGACTTTTACGAACTTTTTAAAACCATCTTGTAGATGTCAGTTAATTATGATTAACTACCATCTAGAAGATGTTATTGACTAGTGCATAAAAAAACTGCAAAATTTGTTGCACGAGTATCTTCCTTTCTTTCTTGTTTCATTTCATTGACGAAAGTGTTTTAAAAATAAACTACATCCTGTTCGAAAGACGAGAAAATTTCCTATCGATTGTTAATCAAATTTTCTTTCCAGCACGTATTTATCGAAGAGATATAACCATCGACATTTTCTGCTACTTTTTTATAAAAAAATTGCGAAATGTTTTTAAGGGTGGCCTTCGTTTTTGTTACGGTGTTTCATTTATAAACATGGTAGAAATTTCTGTTATATATAATTCGAAAGAGGAGGAAAAGCTCTATCGTTTGGTAAAAAAAATTTCTTTCAGCACTCTTCTATCGAAGAAAAATACGAATCAACATTTTGTGCCATTACTTTTGCATCGTATATTAATTGTGTTATCTATAAGATTAGACAAAGAAAAACATTCGGAATTCTCCTCGTTTGATTGCTGGAAACTGTAGATAGCTTGCTGTTACCATTGCCAAGTTATTATTAAGCTTACATCCATTCCTCTTGAATTCCAATGCAGACATTAGTTAGAAGATAAAACTAATTATATCATACCAAAAGCTATACAAGATTCAGAATATTAGATTAAAACATTTTAACGAGTCATAGAATTCAGATTTAATCAATTTATTAATATTATGCCATATCAAAGGAGTAAATAAGTAGAAAATTTCTTATTACGCAATATACCTAAATGCATCATTTCACATTGTAAAATAATTAGATCGACATTAAAACTTTCATTATTAAATGATTATAATTATATTTGGATACAAAAAGCATATAAAGTTATAATAGTATATTCTCACAGCTTATATATAATTATCCTATTGGAAATTATTTTAAAATACGATGAAACAAGCTTACGATCTTAATTTTGACCAATTTCAAAACTTGTTCGATTCAAAAGCAATATTTTATTAATAAATCAAGATTGACTATAAATTTCAATTAATAGAGCCTATATAATAGAAAATTTAAAGATCATATAATAGATAAAATAAAATAGAATTCTTTTTTAATGTTAAATATAAGAAGAAAAGAAGAATATTAAAATTCAATATCAATATACTTCTTGTTTTCCGAATAAACATTGTTGATATTATAATGTTCGAATTCACTTTTTTTTCTTTGATTTCAAGACAATTTAATATACCAGTTGCACTTGAACTTCATTGTTGATAATTGAAATGCGCAATTGTCAATTGTCCGATGCGTCATAAATCAGATATTAGCCATTCTTTTCTCATAGTTGCTATTAATATATGAAAAATAATGAGAATATTCTTGAATAAAGTTACATATTGCCTGGAATTAATGATAGAGTACTTACTAATAGTATTGCGAACTACGTTTTGTTCGTCATATGTCCGCATATTCAATGCATGTGACATCATTTTCAACGAGACAAATAATCACATGGTGACACATGATAAAATTCTTTCCTACTTATTTCCCTTACTACAGTTTACTGATAATCTTTTTCTTTAGTTTTTTTTTGTCTGTTCTGTACGTACGAATGGCGTCGATCATATGGACGAGAGCACGAGTAAAACTCGTGAGAAGAGACACAATCTTATGTTCTCTTCATTTATTCGTCTTCGTGTTTTTTCTTCTTCTGAGCTCTTGCATATATAAGCACATATATTCATATATGCATACATTACATAAAAATACTTAAAACAACATATATACAAATACAACTTATCCTGTTCGACCTTTACTTCAAAAATCCAACTTCATTATTCTTTTATTTGTTTATTAATCATCTCAATTGTGAAATATAATCAGATTTTTATTTCATTAATACACAATGCCTTTTATTGGACGAGATTGGCGTGCAAATGGAGCACAATGGATAAAAACTGAAATTGGTTCATGGCAAACACAAAAACCAATATCATTATCAAGTTCAGTAAGTTTTTATTCATTAATTCTATATGTATAATTATATATTATTAATTTAGTTAAATAATTTAAATTCAAGTATATCTGATATATTTAATGCACTTGATATTGCAAATTCAGTTACTAATATGCGACGTTTTAATTATATTGCAAAAGTAAGAATAGATAATTGTCATGTTTGATTATATGGCATATATTTATTTCAAGGTTGTACAAATTTTATTTAAAGAAAAATTAAGTGAATTAAGTGGTAATGCTCAACGTTCTTTACTTCATGTTATCGAACGAATGATTGATACAGGTATATATTCTTGAATACTCTTAGTTTTTATATGTTTTATTTTTTATTGTTTTTAGCTTATAAAACTGGAGATAATATTCCTTTGATGCAACGAATAGTGACACAATTTCATAATTCGATTAATTCCGCATATCCGTTTTATTATTATATTGGCTCAGCACCTTTATGGCGTCAACATTTTGAAAAGTTAACACGTATGAAAGAGACAATAAAACAAGTACGAGTAAATAGAATTAAATCAGATGAAGATAATAGTAAAACAAAATTTGATTGTCTTCCAATTGAAATGCAACATGAAATTATACAACGATTAGATAGCGGAACAGACATAATTAATGTTGGAATGATTAATTCAAATTTATATCGAGTAACACAAGAATTACTTCTTTGGCGTCAATTATGTCTCTATCATTTTGGTGATGAAACAAAAAATAGTAACAATGTAGTATTAGGAGAGAAAATTCTTGGTTTAATTAGACGACAACAAAAAGATGTTGATATGGATAATATTGATTGGAAAAAAATTTATTTTAGATTACGAAGACAACATGGTCTTCGAGATGCTTATGCAGAAATGATTCATCAATGTCAATCATGTAAAAATCTTTTTTGGCAGGTTAGTTAAGTCTTTTTCTTTTGTTTTACTTTATTTATTTAAATTAGGATTCTGATCATCCATGTCCATATGAAAAACTTTCATCGTCATCAAAACCTATTACACCACGAAAACTTGTAATTATGTTAATTTAAAAGGACAAAATTTTGTATTATAATATGCATGCATGTATATATATATATATATATATATTTTTTTTTTTCTTTTGTAAATAAATGATTAAATAAGCGGAAGAGTTCGAGTTGAAGAATAATTTTTGCATAACCATTGGCGAGTTTGAATTTGTTTTGAATAATAAATTGATGATGGACAAAGAATTAAAGGAAGTTTTGGTTGCATTTCTTTGATTAAAGTATTAAGAGCTAATGTTTCATTCATACGAGATTCATCAATTGATTTATCTTTTAATAAATGTCGTTGAATTGATGATCTATTTTTCATCTGTTTTATAGCATCAACAAATCTATTAGATTTATTTGATTTTGTTTTATTAATTGGCTGATTTAAAGTTGATATTGGTGGAAATTTTTCAATAGAGTGTCCAATTATTTGACTAATTTGTGTATGATCAGGCCATTTTTCATAAACTTTATTTACTCGTTTATCGATAGATGCAACTGATGAAACACTTAAATATTGTTGTTGATTCTTTTTTCTATATGTTGATAATAATCGATTACTACAAGCACTAGAATTATTTTCTTGTATACAAATGAGAAAAAAAAAGAGTGTGTTTACCTTGGTAGTCGATTTTCTAAAAATGTATATGAAGATTCGGATAAATATTCTGAATTTTCTTTTAGAACAGATAACTCATTATCTGATTCAATTTGTGGATTACAAGTAAAAATTGGTTCAATTTTTAATGGTTTAGAAATAAAAGACTTTTCAGTTGAAGAAGAATTTAATTGATTATCAAAAATACGTTTATGTAATACACGAAGTTGATGACATTCATTGATTATTGTTGCCAATTGATTTTGACGCTGATAACGAACATCATGTAAATGCTGTTTTGCATCACTTTGCGTAATTAATGGTTTAGTTGAATATTCAGCTTTCAACATCGAAAACAACTTTAAGAGTGGCAAATGAATGATTATAGTCAATTGAATAGAAAAATGAAACCATGTAGTGTGCCGACCAATTATTTCTTTTCTTTTTTTTCATTGTCCAATATAGATTTTATTCTTTGTTCTGCATTTAGTAAACATGACAGATTCGTTTAACAGAAGGTGTTTTGTATATGCAAATACATTAAATCTCAAACGAAGAATAAATCTTTTTGATTTTGAAAGTAAATACATTATTTGGCATGCATTTTTTGCAATCGAAAATGGATTGTCAATATCTTACTATAATTCATTTAAAATATGATGAAAATAAAGTTTTTTTCTCACACTTCACTTAACTTTGTTTGATCTATTTATAATATAGTGAAGTATTGGTTTAGAAATACTTTACATGACATAAGTATGAACAATGAAAATGTTCGAAATAATTCATTAATTTTGAGTTTATACTTTGGGTAAAACGCGAGAAGCTCTAGGCTAGACTAATATCAACAAGATTCGCACTTATAGATCTTCTCTATTGATCTATGACAATATTGTTCGATTTTTACCACATAATTGAGTATTGACAGAAAAAATTGAATAAAGAATATTTTGATGATGAAATTTTATTTGTAAGTAGGTTTTTGTAGTTTTAAGAATAACATTCAGAAAAATCAGGAGTATTCGAATGTTGAATATTTCAAAAGAGAAAAAAAATCAGTTGGACTCAAACAGCTTTCAACAAGACAAAAAAATAGGCATCACAAACAGTGTCCAGTATTTATTTTATTCCAGCTCTGTTAGATGTATTGCGACTGAAAAAGAGGGCGTCTTTGGACAATTGGTTTCAAAAGAAACTAAAAACAAGTTTTTCTGTATATATCACGGCTTTTGTCTCCATATTACCACTAGGAGAAGTTTGCATACAAATAATAATCGTTGTGCGATTTTTTCTGCTAGGAACTTCGAGAATTGGATTTACTAAAAGTACTAACTAAATATGAAGAGCCTTCATTTTTATGACATTTGACAGAGAACACGTCGAAGCTATATTATCAATAAAAAACCAAAAATCGCAAAAAAAAACGAATTTTTATTTTAATATCCCGAAACCGGAGAAGAATCTTTTAACCTTTTCTTACCGTAAGCTAATTTTGACAGTTCTTCAATAAGATGAATCTTATAGTTTCTAATATACACAAGAAATGTGTGAACCTCAAATCCGTTCAGCATCAATATATTAAATATGCAATGCATTCGTTATTCTTTTTTATTTGAAAAAAATGCTGAAATTTATAACAAAGCAGGCACGATAACATGATTCATGTAAATGCATGAACATCAAATGCATGTCATACGCTGTGGCTCTGACTGAATATCATGCTTGTCTATCTACCTAACACTATCATACACCCACACACATTTTATCCTGACTCTGAGAAAATAATTTGAAGATATATTCGTAGAAAGTCTACTCAAAAAATATTCAATTTATAAGTGTTTTATATCTAATATTTTCTCTTTAAGTTTTGTTTTAATTTGAATGACGTATAAGATAATCTATTAAGAATTTAACTATAAAATTTTTCGTTCATTATTAATCAATGATTTTCAAATAAAAAATTAGAATCCTTATTTTTATTTGATAATTAATGATTGAGAGAAACAAAATAATTCTTCAATCTTTACAAGTAAAAACTAAACCACCCATTGGTATGCTACTACTTGGATCCACAACCAAATATAATGGAACACAAACATCTAATGATAGAGGTGTTTTTGCAAAAAATAATTCATTGCCTTTATAACAATTCTTAAAATTATAGGTAACAAAATTTTGAACAGTTTGTGTTTTAACATCGATTATGAGTTTATATGTTGTCCAATCAGGATCATTTGGAAACATCGTACAATTCCCATTATAATTCATAGCTGAATACGTTGTATTAGGCGATCCAGAACATGTAAAATCTTTTGTATTAATCCACATAGATAAATTGCAAGTTGGCAACGAAAATGTTAATGAAGCTATGAGACTAAAAATTAGAAATCCAATTAATATCATGATTTCAACTAATCGATCGATTTAGTTTCATTGTGGCCTTTAAATATAATGTATGATTTATTGACATATCTATCAGCTGCTAAAATTTCTCATCAAGAATAGCTAAAAAAGAAAACACCATTAAATATATTGGCAAATAATATGACGCAGAAAGTGATCCGATTGTAATATCCAATTTCTTCTTCAGATTAGATTGAACAGCGGCATGTAACATATAAGCATTAGTTAATTTTACAGTATTTGAGCTCGTAGTCATACTTAATTACACATAATCAATTAGTTTAAGGATATTTATTGAAAATATTTTTTGATTAAAAAAAAAACATCTCGATTACAGCACGCAATATAGCGAATACATGAATTGATAGTTAGTGATAAAGTCTGGATAGGTCAAACCAAAATCAGTTTAGATTCTTCGACCTAGAAGAATTATAATCGAACGATTTCCATGCATTACTGTTTGACGCGGTAATTTCTCCTCCTAACCATGTTTCCTGTTTTTTAGCGCATAAGACATCAAAAGTTATCATGACAACCTCCAATTATATATTGATAAAGATGCTTTTACTATTCTGTGTCAAAACATATCATAATTATGTTATTCCTAATTTATTCTGCAGATAAAGTACTATGGATTTTCCAGGTGCTCGATCTAATTGATCAGCTTCATCAATCAAAGTGCTCCTAATCACTAAATGCAGTGTCGTAACCAAGATGATGAATTTTTAATCAAAAAATGGCTTCCACCAAGGTCTTCAAACAAGCTAATTATGTATGATTAAGCATGACAACCAACTCAAATACTTGATTAACTCTTTCCTGTGGGATTCTATCAACCCAAATCACTACTTTTATTATGCCCTACATATCACTAAATTTTATGAAAAAGTCGAAAACTACGTCTGTGCAAAACTAAATAACGGTTTTAGAGCAGTTCTTAGTTTATGTCTTAGAATAGCTTTAACTCGACATTATCATAGAGCACTGAATTCCGTACAAAATGATATATTTCAATATGTGAAACCTTATCTATGCATTTTCATTAAAGAACTAGTTTCTATGGAATTTGACAATAGCTGTTGCAAAAACTGCCTTTCAAAATATAAAAGTTTTAAAATCTTTCATGCAAACGTAGTAGCATGTTTGGTAGAGCAAATCGACTAAAACAGTGTTCTGTACAACCATTATTTTGAAACAATCTAATGATAGTTTTCCAATCTTCTGCAAGAAAGAAATTCTAAACGCATATTCGAATAGATTTCGGAGGTGTTCATCGCGAATGGAAACCTAACACTGCTGCGATGGTATTCAAAAAAAAAATGTTTCGAATTTCACTACATTCATTGAGTCTCAGACTATTGCATTCGTAGGCTCTGAAATTCCGTGTAAATTTATGTAGTTTTGCAATGTTCTTCAAAAAAGAAGCTTCTGCTGCTGCGATGGACATCTCTGTATCCGACCTAATGTTAATGAAGGTTTGTCAAATTAAATTAATCTTTTCATTATATCAGTCGTTGGTGCATAATATAAAGCTCCTAAAAAAAGGAAAAATAATAAAAATCGTACTATGATTATTAGATATCGGAAACAAACTAAAAATTTGTATATTGGTCTACAGTGGTTGAAGTGTACAAAACGTCTTCTGAACATATTCATCATCATCGTCTACGTTGATAAAAAAGAGATACTAGTGGATGATACAGTTGACAATCAGCTTCTGAATTATAATAATTGATTGAAATAATTATTTCAAATATCTCTTGTCATATTAAATTCTAAATAATATTTATCTATATTAAGACCTATGCAATTTAGCCTGAAATGAAGTTGACATACTATAACAATTTTCAATTTTGAATAAATAAATTCAGTTTAGAAGATTAAAAGTACCGGTTTACTCTATCTTCGATATTACAAGAATGAAAAATCAACATAAAGAAGAGCAAACANGTTATATGAAAGATTTAGCTTCAATATTTGGCAATGATTGTGTTCTTTATTTATCTCAAGATGATAAATGTAAAGTTCCATTAGGTTTACCTGCTGCTAGAGTTCAAGCGCCAATGTTAATGCATTTGGATTATCGAATAAGTTTACCAGATCATGATTGGGTAGTTGCACCTCGACATCAATTAACACCAAGTGTATATGCAGCATGTCTTTTATCTGAAGATGGAGATTTAGGTTATTCAGGTCCAACATATGTAGCCATACGTTCAGCTAAACATGATTTATCAAGTGCTGATTCTCATGCAATAGATTTTGATCGTCTTGTTTGTTTAAAAGAATTTGAAAAAGTAGCACGTGATGAAACCGGACAAGTTAAACCAATTGTTATTGTTACTGTCGATGGTGGTCCTGATGAAAATCCACGTTTTCCGAAAACACTTGTTGCAAGTATCAAAAAATTTAGAAAATATAATTTAGATGCACTTTTTGTTCTTACACATGCGTAAGTTTTTGAATTTTAATATTAAAACATTTTTGATTATATATATGTATGTTTTTTGTTTTTGAGTCCTGGTCAATCAGCATATAATATAGTTGAACGTCGTATGGCTCCATTATCTCATGATTTAGCTGGTCTTATATTACCACATGATCATTTTGGTTCACATTTAAATGATTCAGGTGTAACAATAAATATTGATTTAGAAAAAATAAATTTTCGTAAAGCTGGACAAATATTAGCTGAAAGATGGAATCAATCTGTTATTGATGGATTTACATGTGTTGCTGAATATATTAATCCACCAGCGACATCAGAAGATGAACGTAGACAAGTTGATACTAAAATTGTTATGGATGAAATTTTACGAAAGTTAATTTAATTTTATTGTTTTATATTTATTTAAAATGTTTTTTGTTTTTGTTTCTGCTTTTAAAATAGAGTTTGTGCTGAAGAAGAAGCAGAAGAAGGACATGAATTTCGTGTTCATGCATCGGATGAATATTATCAAGAAAATGCTCGTTCATCAAGAGAAAACATTGGTGAACAACCAAAATATGATATTGATGAATATTGGTGTGCTATGCATGTTTTACAAACACAATATACTTTACAAATTATTCGTTGTAATTCAGTGGAATGTTGTGGTCAATGGCGTTCAAATTATGTTCGAGTATTTCCTCATCGATTTTTACCATCACCTGTACCATTTGAACGTACAATATATGGTATTAGAATGGCAGAGAAAGATTATCAGAAAGGACAATTTTATGGATCATTATTTCAACGAATTCAATTTCATGGCATTGTTATACAACATACACAGGTTAATAAGAGAATATTATTATTCGTTACTATTCATCATTAATTGAGTAGAAAAATAGCCAGTTAGATTGACTGAAAATCGAGATATGAACGAAATGGATCGGTTCTTGGTTCCAATCATGTCTTTATCGTATTTTATCATCATATAGGCTAACAAAAAAAATACAAATCATGATAGAAATAAGATCTAACACTTAGTTTGCTCTTCGTTTCTTCAATGGTTATTGAGAAAAAGAGGAAGCGACAAGAAAAGCTATTTATTTGTTATATCACCAATATTTGTTGATAAGGATATTAATTGACTCTATTACATTTTTGTTATCAAACGTAATGTACACCGTTTCACTCATAGCTAGGCATGATTCGAACATAGATATGTAAAAAAAATTATAGTTTTGTTCTGCTTCTAATCATAAAGAGAATGATTTGTCTTCAATCGAAATAGATGATCCTATTCATATCTAATTGAGTACCTAAAAATGAGGATACAAGCGATCAGATAAGTCTAGACCCATGTCGACGATTCTGTTGTCTGGAAATAACCGAATTTCACTGGAACCAGCTCGTAATTCTTGAACTAGAAAATGATTGCAAACTGTGTACTGACAAATTTCACTAGGCTTGGATTTTCCAATTTTGACTTTCGGTAAACATGAACGAGACTCATGTCATCAATATCTAATAATAACAACGACGCCATTGATTCAACCTCATTGCCCACTTCATATTAATAAAAACAAAACGATTTTTTTTTTCAGAATGAAATGTTACCATTTGATTATTGTTGTTCATCAGTAAAAAAAGAATTAAAAAGACGTTTATGTAAAGTATGTAATCAATATATTCCGTCAGCATATCGTATGAAAAATCATTATAAAATTCATGCACAAAATCAAGAAGATTTTGATCATGATCAAGATGATACATTACCACCACCAGCAACAACAACTGATATAATAGCAGATTCAAATGAAAGTCAATCAACAACAACAACAGCAACATCTGCCCTTAAAACAGAAATGTTAGATTGGCTTCGATCAGATTTCAATGACTGTGATGTGGATCCAGCACCAATGCAAACAGCAAGTGATCGTGTTACACGTTCGATGAACAAATTACATGTAGAAGAAAACAATCATCAACATGACAATAAAGATTTTGTGAATTTAGAATAAAAACATTCGACATTTTTATTATCAAGAATATCTTCACTTTTAATTATTATTCTAGTTTAGCTTCTTGTGGTATTAATTTTTTTATGATTAACTTCTTTGAATTTTCGTGTTGCTTTTTGTTTTTTAGTTTTTTTTTATTTGCATAAAGATTTTCGTATGGACAGGTGTTTCAACATACAATATGAAATTCTCTTGGTTTATGATGAACATAAATACCTTTTAAACATTGAGAATAAAAAAGCCTTTAAATTCATTTTTGTCACATAGAAAACAAAGTTTCTTTCATATAGACATTTTGTTTTCAGTGCTATGAAGCAAGAAATTTAGATAAGAAATTTAATAATTTCTACCTGTTCAATTTTAACATCATGAAAAAGTTCGATTCTTTTGTTAAATATCAATAAAACTCGTCGTTTTATATATTCAGATCAATTTCTCATAAATAATATCTATTAAGTAGATAGATAATGATTGGCTTAAAGGTATGCCATTGATTTTTATCATTACACGTTTATTTTGATTTGATTTCGAGTTTTTGCATAAAAATAAAATGGATACATCTTGTTCGAGGAAAACGGTGTGGATGTAGTTGATATATGAATGACAAGAGAATTCACCTGCATTCACCTTCACTTGCTCCTCCACCAACATCCACACTCATATCCCACAACGTCAAAGACCGAGATCTGCACCCTATGTGCTGGTTCTCACAATTTGTTAAAAAGGAAATTATGTAATTTAGTATATGGATTAAGAAGAGATTTGTTAAAAAAAAGCCATCGAATCTTGTGTTTAAGACTGAATAAAAATGAAATATATCTATTTGATAGCAAGTTATTCTTGTTAATCATGTTCATATTTATTTGAATCTTTTTTGAACTTCTAAACAACTTAACATGTCTTCTTTTTATTTCTGTATCGCCTGAAACTGAGATAAAGATCATTTAATTTTTTAAACAATTTAACATTGATGATGATATTGATCTATTTATAGTTTACATAGTTTTGAGAGATGAACCAGACGCATCAAAGCTCATTCTGATAGTATATGTTTTATATAAAGGCTTCACTAGTATGTGAAAAACTCTTCTCAGGTTGATGATTCTGGTCGCCGAAAATAATTGGGTATCACTGGAACCAGTAAAAAAGGGTGTAGATGTAGATTAACAGAAAAAACACAGCCACAACAGTTTAGATATGCATCATTATCTTTATTCTTCGTCGAAAACTGCATTCCTTTTTGTACACTTAATGAATCTCCTGCATCACCCTTAAGATACGAGCCGAACGTCAGTCGATACTTCTCTACTTCGCTGGCTATTAAGAACGACGTGTATTCCGCAAATCATTTCTATCCATCACAGTCTTCCAAATCAACTCTCAATCGATAGGAGTCTTAGTTAGTCAACATCGATAAACGATCATTTCCCAACCAGAATTGTCGTTGCAGATCGCCGAAATCTCGTTTATATTCAAGCCATGTTCGATAGAAATCCTCTTAAGGTTCAAAATCACCTCGTTTTTGAAACACTATCCATCCACGACCATCTGTCTTCATATCACAGAGAAGTCTGATTGGCTTTCCTATTCATAGCACAATACAGCAGACTAACAAACTTATGGGGAAAAAAATGAGTATCTTGCCGGGGCCAAATCTCATAAACACCACTTTTTAATGTTGCATTGCCAAGAATGTTCTCAGCTAAGGAAATGGCGGCACAGTCCTCTGGATATTCACTGAGAACACCCATATCACTTGTTCTGCCTTGGATGCCTGTTGAAATACTGCCGATCAATCCTCGAGCCAAATCAGTATTAACATTATATCCGTCAATCCGTGTGCTGCATACTGTCACTAATAATATGCATAGTGCTAGTTGTCTTTTCATTGTCCTTATTGCTTTTATCAAGAAACTACATACGATGAAAAATAAATATTCACAGTGAATTTAAATACAACTATCATCGGTCATATTTGATCCTTTCCAATACAGAAAATGTATTCAATGCACGACCGATTCACTTCCTCGGTAAATAGAAAACTCATCCAATGCGTAAGCAAGCATGAATCATAACCATGAAAGAGAATTCTTAGTATTCGAAACCTACGAGAAAATTTCACAGGTGTGGTTGTGGGCATGGTGTATAGGTGACGAGAAGATCTACTTCTCATCCACATCCACACCTTACCCGCATTGATACTGTTCAGATAGTTTTTTAAATATATTCATGCTTGACAATACTTTTGTTTTATCGCATTGAGAAGAATATTTTGCAAAAAAGTAGATTTTTGATGATAGATGAACCTGGAAAAAAGATGTGTTTGACTTTGATCTTCATTTGAGAGTATTTGATTCTAATCCAAATTATTGTTTAGGTTATAAAAGAAAAATTCTGAGAAAATATGCATCGTTTTCCTTCAACATGATTGCGTTTGCATAAGATATGTCGTAAACTTTTTCATCAAATTTTTTTGGTTAGTGAACAGAAATGATATCTTTAGAATGAATTTCCTTGGCCTACAAAACGTTCACTATTAAACATACATCAATAATCTATTGTATATATATTTAAATTTATTTTAGATGATAAGGAATAAACAACTACCAGCTCTTCGAACACTTCAAATAGATGCAAATTATCTTGGTAAAGATTTTAATTCATATCATTGGGATATATTTTCATCAATTTTTCACAATAATAAATCTCATCCAATCGATTCATTTAGACATGAATTTCAATTGTTTCTTTGTTTATTAATATCATATAATAGACTTCTTTCATCACCTTCTTTAGTCGCAGCTGTTCAATAACTACTACAAATTAAATATGTCTCATTACCACTTAACCATAGGTAAACAGGGTGTGGATGTGGGTGTGTGTACAGATAAGGGTGTAAATGTGAACAAAGATGAAGTCCATGTAGCGACATCTCACCGCCTATTATACGTCTGTATCTATACCCTCAAGACTATTTGAAACTGACTTTTTTCTAAGCGAGATTTTTTTCGTCAGAACTACCAGTCGTGCAAGAGAAACTGACAATGATCCATGAACTGAGTTTAACATAGTAGAATTATATAGATGATGTGTAGCTTCAATAGTTTCTTTCATAACCATAAGAGACATTTCAGAAGCTCTTTTAAAGAAAGAATAAAATGTTTCTTATTCGAACTTATCAAAATAGTGAATAATCGATATTTTTATTTAAATAAGAGACAAAGAAACAAATTATGGAAATCGATGGACATTCAAATGAGTTAGCCATTAAAATTTGTTAGCTCGTTCCTGGCACTTTGCTACAATTTCCGGTAAGGAATACATATCATTGTCTTCTCGTTGCAGACGCTTGAATAGAGTCGAATCACTTCCAAGAGACGAAGTTTGATTGCTATCTGTCTGCCCAGTAAGACTATTTCTTTCAAAGTGACTTGTACGAAATGATGTCTTGATTTTTTCATTTGAATCAATAGATTTGTTGTCCATACTAGAGTATTTCTTGCAGATGCATTTAATCCATCGAACTAATGGTGAGAGAAAAAGTTTAACGAGAACGAAAGTAAAAGCAAATAGTTCAATGCATAATGAAGTAAATAATAAACCATGAAAGACTAATTCGGCCGCTCGAACAATAGGTTCTTGAATATTTTTAATGTAAAATGGGCGTTCATCAAGTAGAATCTGAATCACAGTTAACGAAGTAGTATACCGTAAATAATTACCGAATTCGGCATAATAGGCTTCATCCGAAAGTTCAACACTACCGAATGTTGGTATCCATAAACCCGAGTAAAGTGTTGGGTCTGCTGTGCTTAATGGTTTGGTCACATTGATATTTTTGATGAACACAATGGGAATAATTGTTGTCCGACCTATAGCTTGATTGAATGTCGAATATAGTTGGCAAAAATCTAATTGTCGTAAAATATTACTCCTATTCGTTAAACCATTACCTCGAATACATAAACGAATGGCACCGATCCAGTAAGGACCTGTTATATTGATCTGTATTCTCGAATAATGACTCGGCACAATAGTTGTCACAGATGTTATAGCATTCAATACTGAATGTGTACACTGAGTAGATATGGGTACGTAATTCGTGCCAATGAAATTTTCTTGTGCCGTAATATAATCACACGTGAAACCTGTATTGATGAATTCCATTGTCAAAATAAAAGTCTGTTCATCGAGTAGAGTAAATATCTGCTGTTCATCATCTGGTTTAGGAAGTGAGAGAAGTTCTAGAGCGGTAAAAAATTGTGCATTAACCAATGATTGATCGCATGCAAACGTAGCTGGTTCATAGGTTTGTTCGATCGGATAACGTCGTAGAAATGCCGTAGAGAACCAATAAGAAAAAGCAACAAGAACAAGGACAGCAATGGTTGCGAGACCGCCAACCCATAATTCACCTTTACCAATAATATCCGTACGTTTGAAAAGATTTTTCATTGTATTTCGATATTGTCCAAATTGACGATGTCGGCACCGTTTTAATACAATCATTACAATCGCAATGAGAAAACATATTGCACCAACAATCAAAGTCCAAAACAAGGGTGAAACAATTAAACAGTGTGGCTCTGAACTAATTTGAAACATATTTACAAGAAGAAGATCTTCAATATTGGTTGTATCAGCAGTTTCAGGATAGGCAAATGCTTGACTGTACGAATGTATAGTACTTAAATCAATGTCTGCCAGTGAGGCGAGTGGACAGAATGAAGTTGAAGAACTGTTGGAGCAAGGCATGCACATATTGACTCCAGTAGAGAGTGTACCTGGATTTCGAGTTCGCGGAGGACAAATTTGACAAGGACCCAGGCTTGATCCATTTTTATAGGTACCGCCGATGCATGGTTTTGGCACATAATAGAAGACATAAACCAGAGCTATAGTATCTATCCATGTCGAGACATAGCCAATTGAAGCGATAGGAATAATCAAAACATCGGCACGATCCGTAAGTATAGCCATGTTTCCTCTGGCAGTGATAACAAAACGTGAAAAATATGGAGTTGATAAGCGACTACCAAGTATTTGTTGGTTATTTGGGAAAGTGTACAGACAAGAAGACGAAGATACTGAATTCTTATCATAGAAGAATATTTGTGATTGTGACCACTGAGTCTGAAAACTTGTGTAGATCAAAACAGCAATTGTATTATCATCTACCCAGTCAACTGCACGACCGAATGACGAAGAATCAGGATAGGATAATGTATGCATACGAGTAACATTCAATGATTTTTCACTATTTTCAAGCACTATAACTGATTCGAGTCGATGCATTCCGACGAGTATTGTTCGACCACGAGTAGAAACTGACATTTCATAAAGATCATTGTAATAGACAACATTTGATGGTACTAAATAGATTTTTTCAGAAACAAGTATTGTACAAGATGAATTTGGGAATGATGAAAGATTAATTAAACAGCCGAGAGCTGCGTAATCTTTGTCAGGGATGTTCGAATAGCCATAGCCAGCCACTACTGCCCATGAATCTTCTATATCAAGAGCATGTGGAATGAAATTTAACGATGGCCAGACGGAGTCCGTTGTTACAAATAGAATCATTGTATTTGTGTAGATCTCCAGTTTGAATACGAAAGAGCTCGTGAATCCATAGGCATAAGTACCTTGTGTGTCAACTCCGAGCAGAAAATATTCTTGATGAGATCCTGCTGTACTCGCTTGCGTACATTGCAAGCCAGATGTACAATTCGTCTTTGAAATATTGGCTATACAAACATATGGAGTCATTGTCGACATGGCCTCCGCAGCGAAAACAAATAGAAACGTATCTGAGTTATTAACATTTTTGACTGCACCAACAACGGCCACACTGTGCACAAAACGATCTGTAGTATTATACCTCATACTGCATCTTTTAGGTCCATTTATACTCGTGTTTCGAAATGGATGCATAACGATGGCGAAATTAGAGAAAGTGTTTGATGCTGATACCAGTATATCTTCGTTGGCTGACAGTTTTATACCCGCTGCAATATTATTTAGATCATATATACACCATCCAAGGTGATGAGAAGTAAGCATAACGAACAAAATCCAAATGAGCATAGGAACCTGAAATAAAAATGCATTAAGAAACAATAAATGGCAAGGAAAAATGCAATCGATGATGAAAACTAGTTTTTCTCATGGCCATCGTCTTATTTCGATGATCTGCAAGCATCACTATGTTTCAGTCAACCTACTCGGATCAGCAATGATTACTCGAGTATTTCTCAGCAATTGAGCGATGTAAGAATGAACAAAACAATACATGCCAGGCTAAGTTTAAGTAAATACTAATTCAATTCATCCATTCATAATTGAAACGAATCTCGACAACTACGAGCAAACTTATTTTATGAAGTTTCATTCAACTTAAGCAAATTTTCAAGATACATACCAATGATAATCAACACATAACTATCAACTGTGTAGAATAGGGTGGTAACTGTCTTTATGAAAAATAATTAGAAGAGTAGCTGCAACAAATGATTTGTTCATATGCGTAAAAGCATTGATATCAATAAGAGAACTTCGAGAATAAAAAATGTCGTCCAAATTAGTTCAACAACAGTGAACTTAAACCTTTCTTATCTGTTTTCTATTCTAAGTAATATTACATCTCACAAAAGAATCTAGTTTGATACGTTGAATATGAATCTTGAAGAATGTCTTCGTTTATATTTCAACATACGAGAATAAGTATAAACTGCTCGTTTGGGTACTTTCTTTCGAACTATCCTATGATAGCGATTGAATGCAAATATAGATCTCTGACATCAGTTTATGTTTAACTGAGTTGGACACAATTTTTTGCTCTCTATTTCATTGTGAATAGTGGTTTTCGTTTGCAAAACTAGCAACCGCAAGAGTACATATGTTTTTTTACCATTTTTGTGTAGAGAAATTACTACTGCCTTGTGTTGTGTAGAATCAGGTGTGTTGCGCTGAAAAGGAAGAAACGTTTATGAACCACTGCTGAAGTATGAATAGAAAACATTGTTTATTTTTAATAAGAAAGATGAAAGAAGAGAGATGAATAGAGAGAAAATTAATCATGCGAACGAAACANGTCGCTTTCGTCAAGTAACTAAGCAATGGATCTGTTGTCGACGATCAGATCACCAAGCTCCTTCCAGTGCTAATGTAGCTGTGGTGAAACATGACCGACAAAATGACTCACCACATTAAATTACTTATAATTGAATATATATATTCGCTTATTTTTTATAATAAAAGACTCCTTTAGTTCCTGTTCCGATTGAGAAAATCTCATTCGACAAGTTTCACTGGCATAATCGACAAGATATTTATCATCGAAGACCAGTAGTGACTGCTGATGTGTGATTCAAACGTTCATAAATAATAGCAAGAACTCTCACAGATAAAAACTGTTTCTATCTCGCTCACAACCATATTAATTGATGACGAATGATTCAAGCTGCAACATATTCTAGCATGATTATTTACCAAAACTACTGAGCAGACATAAACTACAGTACAAGTTCTATTGCTAAATTCTCTTCATTGAATAGACAATCGACTTGAAATATTTTGTGTTTAGCATCGAAAAATGCAATGAGATAATCTTAATTTTTTTTCGATTACTTATTAATTGTTCATCCTGTTGATTAGTGTCACTAGAAAAATCTTCTCAACTTTTTGAGCAATATATGATTTCTTGTGAGAACCATATCACACGTGTTGAAAAAGGCTTATAATTCGAAAACCTAAATCCATTTTTCGTCTTTCATAATACTATTTTTCTATCCAATTGGACTCGATTACTATCTATTTAACAGATTCAGTGGCGGCTCGGGTATATATCACCAAATTCGGTGTAGAAAATAGGATGATTCAAGAAATCGATCATTAACTTCAAGAGTGAACGATCACAACAGATAAAAACGAGGACATATTCGAATAGTGCCAGAAATCAATTACTGGGTAAGGCTTAATTATTCCAACGTTTAGTATATTGTAAATATCTCAGCACAGATAACTCGTCTGCTCTTGATGTTTTTTGAAGATCAATTTTTTTGGCACGATTTTTTCTTTCTGTCGTCAAAGCTTTTCGTGTTTTGACCTTATGATAATCAACGTTTTTATTGACAGTATCCCAGATGGAAGAATCTAATGAACTCAAGTCTGATAAGTTAAAAAAGCACCGATCTTTAGACATAAACGACTTAAAGTTCCTTTTGCATCATTCTCGGGATCTTTTATCAATATGTGATGTTGCTTCATCTTGTTGTAGCCACTAGTTTTGATGACCAAATAATCAGTTATCTTCGGTTTGATAAAATGGTAACACTTTATTACGATATACTATGCAAAATAATTAATATGAGGCATTTCACCATAACACAGTGCTTCATTTTTAGTCTTATTAAAAAACACCACCTTCAACCTAACTCAAGAGGGTTTCTCAGTACCACTCTTGTAGAGAATGTCATGATGTATTTAAAAAAACAAGATTATACGATTGATTTGTATTGAGACATTTACAAAATACTAGAGGTTGCAATTGCTACGCCTCACCCGATATATAATTACTATCTAGTTCATTATTGACAAGTATTCACGACATTTTTTGTAAATGTTTGCATCGTGCTGATTGATGTTTTTTTTTCTTTTGCACACAAAGAAATATCCTATGTTTTTCGCAATGTACGAATAAGACATTTCTATTAAAAAAATTTCAGATTCTCATAGCCAATCTTCATTGTAAGTCAACAAAAATATAATTAGCCTAAATCAATGAATAATTTCAGTCATTATATATAGATAGTTCATGGTTTTATTTATTCAATAAATATAAACTAAACTCGAGCTTTACAAAAAAATGTCGATATTGATGCTAATTCTATTAAATTTTTATACAGGAGCTCAAATTCTAATGTATCATTCTTATAATACGAAATGAATACATCTTTTAATAGTAGTTACTCTAGTTAAAGCCTAACCTACGGCGAGAATTGTAAGAGAAAAAAAAGTCATATTTGTCTAAATTGTAGAAATAACGTGTTAATCAGTAATGTGCATTTAAACTGATGTTGAACATTCAATATATTTTGGATTAAACGATTGAAACGGATATTTTCTTATATTTTTGTTACGAGAGTCAATATCTTTGGATAATTCTTGTAGTTCTCGTTTAAAAGTTTGATAATTATGTAAGTTATCCGAATAATATCGATTACGTTCTATTAAATGACTCCAATCTTCTAGGATACTAGGCATACGTAAACCAGTAATAACTGATAAAACTAATATTTGTGAATATGTTTGAATATTTTGCATTTCCTTGCCTTCTTGTAATTTAGCTCCAATGAATCGAGGATCAGTCATATAAGCACTTATTTGACCAACATGTTCGTGTATGCCTGTACTAGCAGCAATTAATTGTGATAACACATCAATAAAACGTTGTAATGACGTAATGCCTGAAATGCCAAGTTGTTTGCATATTTCATGAATGAAATTTATAATATATGCATCATTAGGTAAATGATCATTTTCATTATTGACTGATAAATTATAATTGATCGTGAAAAAATTATTAACATATTTTTGTATGATATTCCAATATGCATTGAGATCATGATAAATAGGATAAATTTTGTCCCATTCATCATCCGTTCGATTATTCTTATTCGGATGCATTGATTCAGAAATAAAATTTGGTAATATACGAAATTTATAATGAATCGATATAAAATCACATACTTTGAGAAATTCATCATAATCAAATGCCCATATTCTATGTACTAAACCACACTTGCTAACTAATGATAATGCAGCTTGATAATTGATTGATACAGTACGATAAGTAAATGGCTTTATAAAAATTCTTAATGGATGATTTGCTGGTAAATGTTTACGTGATGCACTTACAAATGCATTGCATTCGATCATGTGTGTAGCAATTAGATGGTCAGCTATTGTAATATATGCAAAGAACGATGAACGCCATACATATTTTGCATGATCCCAAAACTGATCACCTTTTTTAACTAAACAAGAACCATGAGACCAATAGATGCCCATAATTTGAAAATCTTTATCAAAATAGGCTGCAGCACCATAACGTTCAAACGGTTTTCGAACAGAAAAAGTTGATAAGCCAGTCATATCGTTTACGTAAACAGCATCATTTAAAAGTTTACCTTCTGGTATACCATGACCAAGTTGCCATTCTTGTTCAACTCGTTGAGTATAATGGCACGCACATCCAGCAAAAGCTAATTGAGTCATAACTTCATCAGATAACATATCGGTATAAACAACATTTGGTATTGGTAATGCAGCAAACATTTTCGAACGCCATGCAAATGCTTGTTCGAGTGTATCGAATTCTATTAATGAATCACGAAAATCCCATATTTTTTTATTCATTAGCCAACGGGCAAAACGTCTTAATAATGGTGATCCATTCGGCTCATCTTCATCCCAAGTTGGCACAAATTTAGCCATATCAATACGAAATATACCTAGGTCATGTGTTGGTAAATCTAATGGTAGTTGAATATCAATAGCACGTGCTGGAGTTGAATATGATTCGTTAACGGCTAGTTGCATTAGTTTCATTACTATTTTGGTGTAATTATCTAACATATTGTAACAACTTTGATCTCTTTCATTCAATTGATTAACATTTAAATTTGATAAAATCCATTGCCGTTCATTTTCATCAAATATTTCATTGGCAAATTTTGTTAATAATAGTGAATTTACAGTCGTGTCCTTTTCTAATAAATGATCTGATTGCTGAGAGTTAATATCATCATTTGAATTATTCGTAGCCGATGAAAAATCTAAGAAAGATATTTATACATAAATATACAATATACATTTCAATGGAAAACTACGTGATAATTAAGAGAGGGTCCACGACAGCATCGAGGATACGAGGCACTCGATAAAATTTTTTTTTTCGATTTTTTTTGCTCATTCGAAACTTCAATGTCTAAAACTACTAACCCTAAAATTTTATGTTCTAATACCCTTCCTATGAAAAGTTAGTCAATATCAACTTTTGGCACTATCGAGGCTTTTTGTAAAAAAATAAGAAAAAATATTCTATAAAAGATGTACTGGCTTCCGTTTCANATGGAGAATGTAAAACAACACCTTGTGGAACAGGTTTATTATTAGATATAATCCATTGTAAAAGATAAATCCAAAGCATTCCACCTGATGAATCACCCATTCCAATTAATCGTCGATGAATATTTGGATAGAATTGCTAGATTCCCTACCGATAATTATTTATCATTCAAACTTGCATATAGTTTAAGACAATTAGTAATTGGTAAAGATACTTATTGGTTTGAAGTAACTGATGAAGAACTAAGTAAAATAAGTCCAAAAGATAATTCATTTGAAGGGTTTCCACCACTTTATATAACAGCTGGTACAAATGAAATATCAATTGATGCAATTCGTGATATGACTGAGATAATGAGATTATCAGATGTAGAAGTAATATTAGATGAAGGTGAAGGATTAATGCATACATATGCTTTATTTCATCTTTGGTCACCACAAGGTAAATATACTCAAGAAAAAATTGGCCAATGGATTCGAGAACAATTGTTAGTTGGACTACAATCAACATCAAAAACGAATAGCATCATAACAGATGAAATGTGTATTTAAGACTCGGGATCAAAGTGTTTTGATTCGATGAGGATTGGAACGATATGTATTAATTGGAATGTTATATTTGGAACCTAAATTGGTATTTGGATTGGCTTTGTACAAATGTGTAAATGTATGGGAACTTTTTGTGGCATATGTGTTGGACAAAATTGGGAGTTACGGAAATTAAAAGAGAATTGTGAAGAGATGCAAAAACAAAGACAATCTAGATAGATTAGAACAAAGAACTTTTGTTGTATATTTATATTTTTTATGTTTAAATTTAAATAAAGTCCACCGGAATCTAAATATTTGTAGAGTTTATGAATAGTCTCAATTGAAAACTAATTTAATAGAATAAATAGATGTAAATAAATCTTGTCTTAATGTAAATAGTATTATAAAGGAAATGTTTGGATCTTTTCTTTAACGATCATTTTCAACTGTTGACGGTTGATGGAAAAATATACAAAGAGAAAACAAAGAACGAAAAAACTCAAATAATGTAAACTATATGTCCATAATGAAATAGAAGTGTATCTTGAGATTTTATATGGTATCATATAATAAAAAATATGTATAGATAATTTTGTGTTTTATTATGAACATATCACTTTATCTGTTTTATGTTTTTTCGTTCTTTGTTTTCTCCTTGTATATTTTTTCATCAACCGTCTAAGGTTGAAAATGGTCTTTAGAAAAAGACGAAAAATTCCCTTTGTAATACTATTCGAAGTAAAACCAAATTTATTTACATATATTTCTTATTATATGATATTACATCAAATCTCAAGATAAACTATTATTTTCAGTTACATGTAATTTAATTTGTTTTGTCAAGCTTTGGGCATACGAAAGAATCTTTTATACTTATGCTTATTTTTATTGATGATTTTAATTCGTTGATTGACAAACATCACAACCGCTATCTAATTTCTATGATATAAGATTAGTCCAGAGAACAACTATGTATGTATTTTCACAAGTAATTACAAACAATTAAAAAGATTTTGATTTTATGAATCGATCAATGATGTCGCTTTTGGTTTTACTGAAAACCATAGGAAAAAAACAAGCAAAAGTGAATTTTTCTTCCTGATCTTGATACCGCAATACTAAGTTTTTTGATGCACTTACGAAAAATCTCGAAGTTTTCTATCCTATAATATTTGTAGTTAGCCAATCAAAATTTTAAGAAATGACTTTTCTCACATTTGTATGGCTTTTTTGAGTCTTTCTCTATCCCTGATCGTTTATTTAAGAAAGGAAAGATCTTCAAAGATGCAAAAAAAAAACTCTATAAAATAAAGTAGACTAATAGTCATTATATCATTTTTTAGTAGTCGATCGCGTCTTCACAAGAGAAACGGGGGTCTATGCTTGTTAGTCGTCGTTTTGTAGTAATGCGCTAGTAATTTTATTGAGTCATGGTATTCAAAATGCGGAGTTGACTGTCTGAAAGCTATTGAAATTATGTAAATTCTAAGCTATATATTACCCGACGTGCAAAAAGACGCATGCGGCATTTTAGTAGGCACTACAATCGTTGCTCTTTGATAGTTCTCAATACATATTTTGACTCACTATCAGCTACTGTATTGACATGATTTGTTCCAAATAAAAAAATAACTTCATATCCAAAGTTGCTATTAGTAGCTGAGTATTAAATACTATTTGGTCTAATGTACACTCTATAGAGTTGAAGAAAAGAATAAAAGTAGGAGAAACATGAATTTATGTCAGCGTAGATATTTAATGGTCATCTTGGTGAACATATCTAGCTTTTCATAACAAGAGATGAAAGAAAATATGTTATCTTATTTCGAATCACTAGATTTCAAGCTTCTAAAGTATTATTTTAAATTTCTTAGATGTTATTCTTATATTGAGAAAATTGAGCATTTTGCCATACATATCCAAAAACCATATAAAACTGTTCGAATTGCTTGTTTTTTAATAATTTTTATTCTGATGGTTCATTGTTATATAAAAACAAATAGCATCTTTAGAATTAGCACAAAAAATACACCATGTAAGATACCTTTCAACAAAAAATTTTTTTCTGAAAAGCGACCCAAAGAGATATCACTGTTAAATTTGTCGTAAACTAATACTCAGAATGAGTACGAATAAAATTTTTCCAAAAGACCAATTTTACTACAGTACATGTTATGTAACGTAGGTTATAGCGCTAATTTCAAATATGCCATTGATTTTGCTCTTATAGTAAACTGTGCTGTAAAAACCTTTTAAATATGAATGCCATTTTAACAGTTTTGTGTAGTTTAGCTACTTAGTGCAACAACGGTGGTTCATACTGAAATTCCACGCATATCTTTCTATCTGGTGAGTAATTTGTCAAAAGATTGCAAGTTTAAAGCGCTTTCAGAGTCTGAATTCATTTTTTTTGAACACCTAAGCTCGACAAAATTAAGTAGAAATTATTAGCAAAACAACGGTCATCATAAGCAGATCACACTACCTTGCGAAAGCACGATATCTTTCTCAAACATATTATAATGATCACTTTTACAGTCCATTTTGCAGAGATTTGTACTCTCTTCATCTTCTGAAACTTTCTATGATTTAAAAGATCGATCAAAAACAAAAGAAAAATCATAAGAATATGGAAAAAACAATTTTTATAATTTTTCGTTTGACCACACAGACTTTGACGATTATCATCTTGAGCATTTGTTACAAATACATCCAAAAAAACCTAATATTTTGCATTCATAAGTTGCATAATAAGTTCTCTCATCTAAGTTAAAAAGATCCAAAAAAATAGTAACAAGCGGCTGGGTTGGTGATCTGGAAAATCTTCTTTGCAACAGATATTTGACAAGAATACATAACATATGATCAAGAAATATTTATCTGAAAAAAGGCATTATCTTATCAAAATCTTGCTTATAAAATATTTTCCTTAGGGTTATCTATTCGACAAAAGAAAACGGTAGATAGTAGCGTATCTTGTTATAATATTTCATGTGAACTTAAATTTATGAACTTATTATTAAAATTTTTCAGTTTTATATAATAATTATTCAGGAAACAAATATCTTTGTAAGTTTCAGATAATTAGACGGAGGACGATGTTACATGTTAAAGTCTAGAATAAAATACTCTATATTTATCTTATGTAATCCATACAATAAGCAGCACATCTCGAGTATATCAAATTACCAGTTGTAGGTACCTTCGTACTTGTATTCTACTTGAATCCTTGTGTTTTCTTTCTTTTAACAACCTCATACTCAAGTAGAAACGAGCATTGTAGATCATTGTCTGATGGAAAATGGAGAAATTATTTCTTTTGATTAATCTCATCTAGTTAGTTCATTTAGAGTGTTCAATTGTGTCAAAAAATTGTGTACCCATTTCTATACTTTATTTAGAAAAAAAAAAAATTACATCACGTGTACTTTTTCATTTTTAGATGATTCATGCTCTGGTTGAGTTTTGTGATATGACAACTTTGATTCATCGCATAATCATCTATCTGTAGTATATTAATGAAAAAAGTTCATCAGATAGATTTCAGAAAAGGAAAGAAATGCATATCGAAATCATAAGAACAATTATATGAAATTTAACTTTTATTAGCATTAAAATAAATGAACTCAAAGCTATTACTCTTTTTTATCGAATTTAAAAACATACATCTCATTCATTAGTTTCTTTAACTACAGATCCAGATCTATGCCTCAATTTATCATAGTGATCAAAACGAACTTCCTCTTTCAACTAAAAATTCTAAAGAAAAAAATTAACGATTTCTCCATGCTACAACATCCAAATCACAATTTAATATTAAACATCTATTGTGGAAAATAATCAACCAAACACTATACTAAATGATGACAGTTCATTCTCTCGGAATCATAAGGTAAAATAATTGGAAAGAAATAAAATGATAATTATGGTATTCTTGAGATTAATAAAGATATAATATTAGATAAAATTGTTAATACTGAGAGAAATTTTAGTTTACTTGTACATCCCGATAACATACATATATATCTCATGCTACAGAAGAAACACAAAAAATTCATAAGGCTCGTGCTGTACTTCTGAGAAAGTTTTAAATTAAAATAAAAGTAGTAGTCGTCTTGTCAGCTCAAAACAATAATTCTTTTAATACATTTATTTCGAAGGAGCTTTGAATTTTCATTTAAATTCTTCAGTATTTTGTAAACATTGTGATTAATCATTCTCTACCGAGAGTGAGAAAATGTCTTTTCATCCGTAGGCATCATGAAAAAACAACAAAAGTGTTCACAATTGAATATTTTATATTAAAAAACAAGACTAATGAAGAATTATCCAATATCGAAAACAATCAACTTTGAATTCAACATTCTCATAAGTAGAAAACAGTATTGGTTGTAATAATAATCATATGAGAAATCGTTCGTTTTTATTGTTTTTTATCATCACAGATAGAAAAAAAAAAAGAAGCACTAAACACAAAACTAACTGTATGATGCATCTAACCATCGTCTATTAACTTTTATTCTATTAATACTAAGACTTATAATCGTTATCATATATTGAAAAAAATGACAATGTTATTGGTATCCATTGAATGTTGAAAATATATTTAAAAAAGACAAAAAATTCTTTGAATTTATGATAGTCCTGAATCACATAAAGGTGTTACAATCAACATGAACGAAGAGAGAGAGAGAGATATATATCGATGGTCAAAGATGAAGAACATATCAATTTTTTCAAATATTTAATAATAAACTATCAATAACTTGAGTGAGCATAATTAAATTGTTTTCGTATACTGTAATTATTCTACATGTTAAAATTGATTTTCAATACATTTTGTGAAATACGATCTGAAATGAGTATTAAAGTAATGGTGTAGAAACTAGGAACCTCCTACTTCTGCAGACGTACCACCAGACTGTAACACATGTTGCTGATATACAATCAAAAACTGTATTATGAATAAGTTCACGTTCTAATATATATGAACTACTTCCTTGATGTATTTCTGAAGCATTAATTAAAAAAGACGGTGAAGAAATGTGTCCCAAAATTGATAGTATAAAACAATCTTTCAGTGATTAGTAAGAGCAACTATGTATATACCGTTTCACATTTTTTTGTCGCGCACGCATTGCATTAATAATTTTTACGCTTGAAAATTAAAAACTTAAACCGTCAATTTTTTTAATTTTCTATTTCGATATCATAGAAGTAAATTTGGAGAGGCAACCATTAACTGTAGAATCACAGGTATGTATTTTGTTTTTCTCAAAGAAATAACTTCGACGTTTATATTTTAATGCGGTTTATTACTTTTTTACTGTTCACTGTCAAGATGTGTATAGTCAATTATTTTTCTTTTGTATGATTAATATATAAGTATGTGATTGTATTGATATAGATACCAATAGAATGATGCAACGGTTCATTAAACATTATTACTATTGATGATAATGATAGAGCCCAGTCAAGTGAATAATGAAAAAATGGTCATTAATATGTCCTGTTACTTGTAGCTAGACCATTTCGACCATTAAAATGCATCTTTTCAAATAAATAATGGTGAAATAGCCATTAAAACGAGTAATAATTCATTAATGAATAATTTTGACCATTTCACAATTTCGGACTCTGTTTTTCGGAGTTTCAAACTGATTTTAAAAATGCTTATGACTTCAAAAATTTATATGGATTATTAATGTTTGCTTATCAAACGTTTTTTTGCGAAACAGTCAAAAACATTCTTGTAAACTTAACCGCTTACATGTCTATTGAAGTATGCGACTCTGATGAAATTACGCTTAATCGCAGTCGAAAAGCTATTTTTTGTATGATATTGATAGTCGGTTTGCAATCCTCGAATCGAAAAGGATCTTTTTTTTTATAATAGTGCTAAATTTATAAGTTTTTTGATAAATATTGAATGTCTGTAATTGACAGCGGCATCATCTTTTTTCAAAAGAAGATAGATCTCATTTGTTTTGAGATAAGCTGTATATCATAGGCAACTAACCTAATCTTGTTCCTTCTCTCTCAAAGGAAACAATTAGGATTCGAAGGTGCTAAAATAGTACAAAGGACCTATCGGAATAACAGCGCAAAATGATTTAACACGTCTAATTTCTTGTATACCAGAGGAAAAAACTGTACTTTAATTAAAATTTGATATCAACAAAACCAAAGTAGATCCCTCTTGTAAAATGAAGTTGAATAATTAGAATTTAGGCACAAAATTATTTTTTCCAATGTGAATCACATTATGATGTAAACAACTAGAAGATATCACGTTCTATTGAAATCAAGTGTGGTTCTTATTATTCATATTGTTATTTTCGTTTGCTCGACTAAACTAATCGCATAAATCGAAATAGACAGATTTTATTTTATGTGATGAAGTCTTTTTAAAGAAAACAGGATGCATAATTTACCTCACATTAATCTAACATTGTAAAAAATGCTCTCGAATTTTACATGATACCGTTGATAATAACAAATACTTTAAGAATATTTATATATACTTATTGATTTATTTGACTTTTTTTACAAAAGTTTCCATTAATTGAACAAATATATTTAGTTCTTTCTACAGAGATATTTCTGTGTTGGTCGATCACTTAAATATTTTGTGCACACTATTACAACGTTTTTTATAATTATATGATACAGATCTTTGTATACATCGCTAATTGACACATCAAGTCCGACTATAATACAGTATTCTCTTCTCTCATTCTACTCTCTTTTCAAAAAAAAATATTTATGTACTAATCGTAACATTCTCATGTTCAATTTTCTTCTTCATCTTTATAGAATTACCCGTAGTCTAATGAATTGCGAAAAAGAAGCGAATCGTCAAAAACATGTGTGGAAACGTAGGAGGAATAGCAAGGTTGACTGTGTAAATTAGTGATTTTTCATTACATATTTAAATATATATCAAGTATAAATTTGGTTTAATCCATCTACTTTCTTGCACGATTCTGTTATTTTCTTTAATATTCATATTGTTTATATGAAGAACAGTACTTAAGAGCAAGAAATCGAGAGAAAGATGTGCATGTGTATTGACTACTGCTGGTGTATTCAGACACAATGCGTAAGTAATATATGTATCTGTGTTCACTTCTAAGTTAATGCAAGTAAAGCTATTTTAAATGGTTAGATCAAACTAACACTTTAGAGATCAGTCACAATTTCTTCTGACTGAGCTGTTATCACATTTCATCAGACAATTGTTGAAAATAGCAGTTAAATCAGAGAGATATATTTTAAGTAATAAATGAAAAACCTAAATTTGTAATCTATCTCATTAATTTTTATATATAAGAAGAGACACACAGTGTGAATACAGAATAAGTATTGTCATACGGTGATCGGAATTTTTTATTTGAATTATGAATTTAATTATATAAATATCTAATAATATCATATCGATTCGATCTGTTGTTTAACATTATTTATTCATCTCACTACTATTCTGTTCGCTATATTCAACTATATCTGATTGGCTAATTTTTATTGGTCAAATATATTCTTTGTCCCAGAGCAAAGGACAATGCTGCCACTATAAAAGGAACGAAAGAGAACAAGTTCAATTCATATTAAAGATTGACGCATCTGTTGTAACATGTCGTCGTGTTCATATCCGACATAATCAGAAACGTCTTTGACGAGTTTAAATAATACTAACTAAGAAATCCACCTTCCCATTTATAATATTTGAGACTTTTCTGAGTCTTTCCTCCGTGCAAGATATTTATTCATACATCCTAGATTATTCGTAAAATGTGCTAGGACAATTGATCATCACTTACAATTAGAGGTCGACAAGTTCAGTTTTAGTTCCGAACTGATGAACTGTTCAAATCGTTCANAAATTATTTTAATGACAGTATAGCCAATGATAGCATATCCCAACTGCCACTTCCAATTAACGCATCGATACCTTCAGAGGACACAGAAGCACTAAAAAAGAAGCTTGATGAGATAGACGAAGAAAACAACAAAGTAAAAGAACGACTTGCACAAGCAGAAATAGAAGTTGCTAGTCTACTTAGTTTTTATGATGATGTGAAAGAAAAAAATCAAACAGATCTAGAAGAACGCAAAAGAGAAATCGATATTATGCGTCTTGAACAAGAAGAAAAAGAACAAAAATGGCTTCAAATTGAGAAACAAATCAAACAGGAATATGAAGAAGAAATACAGTCGCATGCACAAAATATGTTTGTCATCATTAAAGAAGTCACTCCGCTAAATGAGAAGCAAAAAGGTTTAGAAAAACGAATGCAAACACTGAAACGCATTGAAAAAACCATTAAAAATTGTGAATATTCCGATTTCCATTCACAAATCATGCATGACTTCATACTACCAAAATTCGATTTACTCATTAATTATATCAAGGAAAGTGTTCAGAATATAGATGAGTATTTCATTGATAAAATACCTAAACTAACATTTGTAGAAGTCAATGGTGATACATATGCTATTACTCTCCGTGGCTTTCCAGATCATCATACAGCATTTGAAGCTGTCCGAGATCGATTATTCAATCTTTCAAATTCAGTCAAATCAGCCAAAGAATTTTATCAACGAGACATCAATTGAGTTATTAGATCGATAGCTAGAACATTGACAATAGGTCAAACAGGTACAAATATTTGGAAACAATATTGTAAAATTCTGACTCAACTATTAGACGAAAAGGGCATCGAATACGTCAATAGATTTAATGTCTATATAAAAGAAAAATCAAAAACACTAATTCAACGATCCATTCTTGGCACTTCAACTCCTCCCTGGATTGAGCTTCGAAGAGATACCGATAATTTTCGAAATGATTATCAATTGGTAAACGAAATTGAAGGACTCAAACATCAAGCACTCAACGAATTCATCAAACAAAACATATCATTGCAAAAATTGAAATTTGATCAAACTCCAACAACAAGATCTATAATCACTATTAAAGAGTTTATCAACCAAATCTCGCTTAAATTCAAGACGGATAAAATATATGAAGGTTATCAGATGCATGATTTCAGCTTGATACCAAACTTGCTACAACAAATAATGATCTATTATTCGTATTTTGTGGTACAACTACCACTCTTCGAGTCATCACGAGAATTGCTAAATAAGATCGACAAACATGTTGTAACAACAACAACGACACCCACTGGATCAGGTAAAATATTAAGAAGAGATGAGTGTATTTTTTGGAAGACGACTTTGAAAATGAAACTAAATTAGTCATTGAATAACTTGTTTTTTTCTAATAAAATCGATTGGTTTCAATATTTTCAAAATCATTAATTAGCTCTAGATGGAACAATTATATAAACTACTTCATTTTTTTTAGGAAAATCCACGCTACTACCATGCCTATTCGTCGCAGAAGGGTATGATAAGGTAATTGTAACTCAGCCTCGTCGTTTACCTTGTAGAATGATTTCAAAGCGTCTTAATGAAACTATGCAAACGGATACAAGTGATAGATCAGAGAAACCAGCTGGTTGGGCTGTCAGGTGTGATCAATGCAATCCAACTGCAAAAACTCTCTATCTAACGGACGGTTTACTAAAAGAACGTCCATTAGGGTGTGGGTGTTGGTGGGTGTGGGTTTGGGTGTGGATGTGGGGTGTGGGTGTGGGTGTGGGTGTGGGTGTGGGGTGTGGGTGTGTGTGGGTGTGGATATGGGTGTGGATGTGGATATGGGTGTGGATGTGGATATGGGTGTGGATGTGGATATGGGTGTGGATGTGGATATGGGTGTGGATGTGGATATGGGTGTGGATGTGGATATGGGTGTGGATGTGGATA